AATTTTTGTATAGCGAATGTCATTTTTTAAATTATCGTTACTCAAATTCATATTTTGGACGTTCATTATATTTTTTCTGGAAAAACTGCCCTAATATTAAACTAGCTACTCTTCTCGCGTTTTCTTACCCACTGCTCGGTTCCTACAGATCGTAGCGCGACGTTTAATAGCCTTCCTCGATAAATAGACTAACAAACACAATAATTTGTTCAATTCGGACCAGTCGTTTTGGAGATTAGCGCGTTCAAACAAATGAACAAACTCTAAGGCTTTAAAATATTAGTATAGATAAAAAACGATAGCTACATTCTTAATAGAATATTGCGCATCACATAAGAATTTTGCGAATCAGAAATTTATAGGATCCGTGCATACAACTCGGTCATCGTTTACCGTCACCATGCGATGTTTACCATCGACGTGAGCTGCTTCAATAAACTTAAAACCGTATTAATATTAAACACCTATGATTTTTTGAATATAATTATTTGAGTCGACATTGATTTTCGTGTCCATGCCAGTGTTGTGCGATGAATTCCTAATACGGTCTAAGCCTAATACTGCGATTCAAACAAATAGTTTTGTACTTTATGTGTTTCTCAGGAAAATGACGCGCAAATATTTTCTAGAAGTTTATAAAAGTTGCTTTTCCAGTCGTATATTTCCAAGGCAATGAGCAAGCACTACATTTTCAAATTGATTTATTGTCAGGTCTTTTTTAAAATTGATTTCAAGTATTAACCGAAAAATAATGGCAAAAATGTAAATGTATTAAAACTAATAAGCGAAAATAATCATCTGAAGTTTTTGACCATCATTAATATATATGCGTGAGGTCGAAGCGTGGGTTAAATATATAAGGTATTATACAATAAAGAACATGCTTTCATTAGTTTAGGGATTGTAAGCTTCAAAATGTAAATTTATGTAGTAACACACATACACCAATGGCAATTTCTGACTGCGAAAACTACAGGATAACTTTTCTTTTATGTTTTGAAGACGTGAAAAAAAAATTAATAATAGACAATATTGATAAAAAGTTTGCCTAAATCTAGAACAAATCTAATTCAAATTATTTTCACCGCACTGTCAACGAATTGTAATAAACTAGCGATGCGCCACGGCTTCGGATGGGAGCAATGCTGATACTTAATTTCTCCACTATTTATAATGGACGTTATTATACATGTAAACCTTCCCCTTTAGTCACTCTATCAATTTGAAAATACTGTATAAAAATCTGTTGCGTAGTTTTAAGGATCATAAATGGACATAGGGACAGACAAAAGCGAATTTTATTACACTTTAGTACTAAAATATAGTCAAGGGCACCTATTACTTCATAATTCTAAGACCACTGCATATGTTCTTGAAACAAATGCCTATCAATTTGAAGTCACCTCATTTACCCCACCACATGAGATGAAGGGGACCGATAATTAAATGAACAACTGCATACGGGCACAAACAGACTGATTGATTAAATGAACTAAATGTGTTTCGACACTTACAATGATAGTTTCTTTGATGGATAACATTTATTGTTAACCCGTGCCTCTATAAGAATTTTCGTCATTCATTTTGGTAATCCTTTTCTTTGTTTTCATGTAACGATCTTGCCAATTTAGCCTTTTGTCTATGTTAAATAGTTTCCACTTAAATTAAAATTAAATTCTTATCATTCTTTTCATTATTTGACATGGATATCAAGCATGTCTACTTGCCTAGTGTCTAATGAACGGCCCATCAATTTTGTCTGCCAGTGAAGCTAATACAGTTAGAATTGTCTCTAAATCGCCACATCGTGGATGCACATCGTTTACGTATAGTGGTATACGAAAGCAACATTTTTGTTTGAATCGCTAATCAGGCAGCGACGCTTTCCAAGTTTCCAAGTTGACCCTAAGTCAAGTATACCAATAGAGATTCATATACATTTGTACAAATCTCCATCTTGAGTCGAATTGCAGATATCTCTAGTAGCGCTCTGGATAGGTTTACAATAGGATTATTCCCAATATAGAGATTACTGTCGAACGTTCTAGTTGAATAGTGTCAAATTCACCTCCAGCCAATCCTCAGAGGATTCCAGGTGCTACTCAATCCTCTCTAAGCTCAAGTACCCACTAACGTAATGTAATCCTTTATATGAAAACTCCTTTATATGAAAGAGTTTTGACCAAAACTGCTTATCTGCAAGACTGACCGCAACATCAAATTCTGTAAACAATTTTCGCTTCAAATACAGGAAGGTTCTGTCAGTAGCACTCTTGTTTCCACGTATCCTGAACGAACATGGATTGACGTTTTCTAAATTGCATTTACCATGAGCAATAGTCGTAAAACGTTTGATCGGAAATACAGAAATGAGATATCATTTTGTATCGTAAGCACCTAATTTCGTATCTGACGTGGTCGACGTTTGAAAATCAGGAAAATAGGTTTGTTTAAGCTTTGTACAGAGAAATTAACTTGTTAGCCAAAAATGGTGACCTGTCTAACAAATTCAAACTATTGAGGCAACTGTAGCATTACCCTGAACTTCATGATAATCATCATCAGCTTATAAGTGTCCACTGTTAAGAAAAGGCCTCTTCTCGCACCAAGTAGGTTTAAGCATTAATCCAAGCTTGCACAAGGCGGATTTCAAACTAAAAATTGGAAATTATAAGTCCAGGTTTCTCACAAAGTTTTCCTTCACAGAATGTCAGTGGTGTCTAAATAATTAAAGAAAGTACATACTTATGAATCGGAAAAAGACATCTTGGTACTTGCCAGGTTCGAATCAACACCTTTTATTCACTATCAATAACTTTTGGGTTACCACGACTTACATAGGTACCCTGAAATGACATCGCATGAACTACGGACACAAAAATAAAAGTAAGAATCCGTTTTTAATCAATATGGGCAGTTTTTTTTTAAAGATGGATGAAAGTAGTTTTCTCAAAGAGTCCGTATGAAACGAAAATTAATGAACAGCCGACCAAATGGACAGATGACGTTGGCAAAGGGCGGGCAAAGCGAACGTACCGTGGCGACCAGATTGAAGACGTATTAAAAAGGCAACGTGAAAATTTTGATGAATTTTTGCTCCGTCCACGGCGCGATTTTCAGTTATGCCTAGATTCCGTGTGTTTGGCAGTCCTTTGCGAATGCCTATCACTATAACGGACAAGTGACAGGCTTCAGGCATGTGCACGACGCGACTCACAAAACGTGTTTTAAGTCATGGAAACCAGGTATTAAATAATATCAACATTACAACACTTATCTACGAATAACCTACTTCTGGAAAAAAAAATATTTTTGCCACTTTTTTTTAAAGTGAAAAACACGACAAATTTTAAATAAAGAATTTGCGGTTTCCAATTGTGTTTAGGTACAACGACAGATGTATTTCGAATTAGTGATGCGGTCAACATTGTTCGTTATTATATTTTATTTATAAACTTAACCACTTGCCTTAGGACAATTGAACATTTTTGAAAAGAGAATAAACATAAAAATTAAGAAAGTATCGAGGGCGAAGTTTTATAAAATCGCTGAATTTAGTGGCCGTACACTCTGCATGTCCATTTTTTAATTAATTTTTCGTATGAAGTACGAATGCTGTCGTGAAGTTGCTCGATACGTATTTTTGTAAAGTTTCTTGTTTGGAACACTCGTTGCTGCTGGTCGTTAACTTTTCCTAACAACTAATTTTGTAGTGTCAACTGCGCTTTAGAGATTTTTAATGTATAAAATTACGTAAACCACTGTTTATGTGGCTAAGCAAATAGTCTATTCCAAGTTCAATTTTTTTTTCATTATACATTCGATTTTAAACGTTCGATTTTCAAAAATATAAACTTATGAGGAAAGTGTAACCGTACATATATGTACAACTGTCTCTTTACAATGAACACATTATTTTTTAGTATGTTGAACTTTGGAAACAAAACTCTACATAAAATTTCCACCTAATTTACAAGACAGTTTTGGGATTCGGTAGGCACGGGTAACCGTGGGGTTACACTGCTAAAGTCGACGCTATAGGCCTGCTGCACGCCGGTTTTCTGTGAGGTCGTGAGACGAGTATCACTCTCGAGCCGTTGTATTTGTGACAAAGCATAGTTCTTCTACACTTTTATTACATATTAGCATTTTGTTAGAGATTTACTATTTAGTCGATAATTTTGATTCAAAAGATTTAGTCGATCTCTTTTACGCTTTTATTTAAAAGTGTTTTAAAAAGCCAATTCTTGTCCTTTAACAAATAAAAAGTGTTCATTTTGACTGCAACATTATACCAATTAGCTGTTGATCAAGCCGAGGCTCACGTCGTCGTGGCGGGGCAACGGCCGGGGTTGCGCGGGCACACAATTTCATGCATCACTTGACAGATATTTGATTACCGGCCATCTTTTCTTAAGCCCTACCGCGAAGTTTAAAATATCATGTATACTTTTGTTAGCAGCTAAAGTTATTTACGGCCGTTTTCCATAACCTATCTGTTTGAATATTAGATTTAATTTTGACACTATTCACATGGACTATGGAGCTTCGGTAGGTCAAAATTCTGTCTCTAATAAGCAAATCCACAGATAATAAATACAAAGATTATTAGAAATGTATGTTAGATAATGTGAAAATAGATTCACTTCAGATGTAAAAAATTAATTAATTCGACGTTTCAATACACAATCTTTAAATAAAATATAAATCTTTAATAAAATATATAAAAATTACTACCTATACTTTTTGTCGTCGATCTGTCGATACACTAAATCTTCGATATCTTAAGCATTTATTTAAGAATTAGGTAAGCTATTTGACCCAGAAATACTATGACGTCATAATATGAAGTTTCATAGAATTTTCGTAGAAAAATATCATTCTTGACATTTGGATAAAAGTATTAAATTTGACTATTTGGGAACGACCGTACCTATTGTATGCCTTTTTCAACAAAGGTACAAGTATTTTAAGGCTAGCTGAATAATGCCATCGATTCCTTACGATCCGTCTGATCGTTTGCCGTCCTGAAAAAAACATAAACTAATTTATTTTAGTTACATACAAAATTGTACTTGCTTTTTTAAACAAAAGCAAAGGTATCTTTACGCTAGCCGACTACCAAACAGCTGGTAGTCGGCTAGCATCGCATGAGTATTATTTTTTACCAAATTATTGGTTCAAGCTTTTCATTATCACTTTGCTAATTATACTTAATCTAAGTCCATTGAGTATGAGCACCCAAATCCTATATATTTTTTAAGCTAAAAATTGATCAAGCTGATTGCGAATGTACCTACCTAACGTTGTTGCGAATTTGTTTAATGTCGTTAAACTTGAAAATGCATATTTTATTTTAAGTAACAGGTATAATTTCGAGTTCAACTTGGAGAATTATTAATAATCAAGTTACCGGCAATGATCCCAATTAACCAGTCCTGGTGGTTAACAAAATAGAATAGCTGTAATGACCATTATTTTTATAGCACGTAGGTCTTTATTGCAATAGTTCTTTAGTTCATTGTTAACAGAGTCTGAAGAAATTAAAGAAAAAAACATGAATCCATAAAACCCAACTTATTACTCATTCACGTCAACTAAAGTTGAAATGTTGTAATTCATAACCAGCTAGCGCCACCTATATAACGTTGCTTGTATTAACACCAACATATTCAGAGGTTGCTTTGAAAATAATTATATTTTACCAAAACTTTGAAGGAAGTAATTACCGACTTTATTACGTAAAACTTATTGATTCTAAATCGACGCTAACATTACACAACAAACTTATAATTTTATTTTTAGTACTAAGCTAGCGCCATCTATACTGCACTGCATGCATTAATGAGCAAACTACGTTGAGATACAGTTCTACAGCGCCATCTATCTATTTCGTTAGGAACAACAAATGCAGACGTATTGAAGTAGTTTTATTAGTTTGCGGTAGATGGCGCTGATGAATTCCTTTTCTACTTTGTTCGTGATACTTTAGATGGCGCTGCTAGCGAAATATCGTAGAAATAATAACTTTGGTTCCGCTCAGTACGATAAACTATGATAGTGTACATATTTAATACATTTTAGCAAAATAAACTACAACTGTTCTTTTTCTCTAGATTTATTAGAAATAGAAATTTTATTTTTTACTTCCTTTATTGTCGCTACCTAGGTATTTTCATTTCGGCCTACGTTTTGTATGTATTTTGTGCTCACTAATTGCCTTATATGGAATTTTACGGCCAGCCATTTATATTAATCTTATTTTGGTTATGCCTACCTACATTCAATATGGCCATGTGGGTCTATTTTTTTCGTATAACAGGTGTAGGCGTCACCAGCACCATCTTATGGAGATTTTTAAGAGTACTTCACACACGATGTAGTTCATAACGCATTAACACCTTTGTTACTAAGTTGATGAAAGCCTTTATTTTATATTCCCAATATTAATCACCTTAGATACCAGTAGGTAGCTATTAGTGATAGCAGAAACTAGATTATTATAAAAAGTTTATTATCCTCAATTGAAGTGGATCAATCAATAACAACATAAAAGCCTAAACTGCGTTCTTACGCGAACTCGAATAAGTTGGGGCATGGCACACTTAGCAAAAACCAACCTAATAGATCAAGGTAGGTACTTAACACTTCTAAAAGCGGATTTTGATACATGTTTCATAGGCACCAAGCACCGACAACTTTATGACATCACTTTGCATAGTTGCATGTTAAACCTACGAACGATTGGCTGATTGCATAGGTACCTATTATTTCTTACCAAGCACTTCATCACACCCAATTCTACCTTATCAATAAACATTTAAAGTTCTATTTCGTGATTCTTGATTCTGAACTTAATATGGTTATGATTATATTGAATAGATTATCATTGTAACGATAGGTCGAGTCATGCGAAGATCTATCCTTATTTGGTGATTCGTTCCTTGGTGTTTGTATTATAGTATTGATTGATTTATCGTAAAAATCTCATGCAGCGAATCGTTTATTAGTTATTTTTATTTCGAACGTCGTTATTTATTTAATTATTGCCCTCTTCTTGGAATTTCGTCGATTTGAAGAACTGAAATATACTTACTTAGTTGTTCATCGAATTTGGAGTTTTTAGTGTAAAAGCTTATACTCGAGTATCTACCTAACAGGAAAATATTCCTTTTAATTAATTCATTGATTTGTCTTTAAGATTGTTTGTGCAACGATAATTTTGGAAAGTAGATCAAAATGATTATCAAATAAAACGTTGTAGAACCTTAGGTACTTGTATGAACTTCGTGTCATTCATATCAGTTTATCAACAAACTGAATAAACTTGCAAAATCACAAGAAGTAGGTAGGTACCTGAAACAAAAACGGTATAAACTTTTGAAAGGAACGAAAAACAGAGGTTTATATGCCTACATTCTAATCAAATCGCACGTTAACAAGATGAAAACATGAACAAAATAACAAGTACCTACTAAGCTATAACTATAGTGACTAAGTAAGCATGTTGGGCGCCAACCAGTTCTAAGAATTTCATGTGACTTCACTAAACCACAGTCTCAATCTAAGATCAACCGCTAAGCCAGATTCGATATCATTGCTATTATAAGCCTTTGCAATAATAGCGAGATCTCTATGTACCGCTGTACAGCCAAAGTCCACCCCAATTTAGGTCACACCATCTAAACCAGTGCCAACCTTGCTTTAAAACCTATACATTTTAGGATTAAGATAACGATAGAGCTAAGAAAGTAACTAGGTTTATTTACCGGATCAAACAAATAACTCATTCTCAAACCAGACCCGGTACACATCTTTAATAACCATTAGCGGCGATGTTTCCACTAAATAGTTACAGAAATTATCAATTAATTTTCTAATACCAGAGGGCGTTCACACCTTGTAAGAAACATTGGATGTAAGGCTAAAATCACATGTAACTTACTATTACGCGCCGGCCGCCGCACAGCCTCCGAAGTGGTGGTGGTAACATCGGAATGCCATAACTCAGGCATACCACCTTAACGGTACGAGAGAGTGAGACGCACACATACGTTAGAGCAACACGCAACATCGACATGGTTGAACGACCGATCAAATAAGTTTGTACGCCGCTATCGTATACCACGTAGGTTTTATTTCTTCTAAACGTGTCGAGGGCGCATGCGCTATAGTCCGATTTCCAAGATGGCGCGTGCAATTTTCCCTTGGACACCGTTGGTTGGCGCGAAATTAGAAGTTTCAAAACTACCTTACCTATACATTTTGAGGACCTAAAAAATATTAATTTAAATTGTACTGAGAAATCCACCATTCTAATGTCGTGACTGTACATAAATTAGGCTTATTAATGAATGATTTCGAATACCAAAGTAGTCAAGAAATACTTAGGTACTTCATGAATATTCCTGTGCCATTAATTTAAATACCTATTAGCGAAATTGCTTTCTATAGAGAATCCTAGTTCCAGCATCAGTTATTCCATTTCTAGCTACGGCAATGAACTTTGGATAGGTACTCTATTGTTTCAAAGAGTAGATTCCTTTATAGATGTCATAAAGATATTTTCTTAGAATTCTGTACTTAGTAGTTGGTGGAAAACTGATGATGTAATAATTAAAAAGACTCGTTTGCCTTTTAATTGCCTCGAAAAAGGCTTCAACGGATACAAAACAGCAACATGGTGGTCTTTGCTCTAGAATTCGTAATAACTCTATTTATTTTCCCACAACGAATAATCAAGAAACGTTACTCTAAATAACATTTTCCTGCTGTAAGCCTATAATTTTGTCAAGTCTCTAAGTAATGTATTTACCAATATATCATGGCCTTTCAAAATGAACAATATCTTAGAGAGAGACGTCCAAATTTTCTGGACTTTGCGACCACACAAGCTTTTGTCGTGACAGGCGATGTGTCGTGTCAACCACTAAATAGTTTACTTTTCTTGTTACATCTGTGGTTACTTTTATTCTAATAACTCTTATTTACTCACTTACAAACTGTTTGTTTCTTCAGTTCGACATGAAACGTCTTCATTACCAAACTCTTTTTTGTAGAAGTATTCTAATGCATGTAAGGGGTTTAATTTGGAAATTAAACATAGGTTTATGTGTACTTAAACATCTGTGTTGTTCCGGAACACGTCGAATGCATTTTGCATCGTCTGACGCACATCTCAGCCTTCTTACATAGTTTAGCAATTTAAAATACCTTGCCGTTAATCGTATGCTTGTTTACTCATGAAATTCTGTGAGCATTCAATATGACCGCTTTAGAGTCGAATCTGTTGACTTCGTGTCAATCACCAAAATGCTAAGCAGTGACCGTTTTATGAATACCAAGGCGATGGACGTAAACAAGAGGTGATGCATCATACATGTGCAACACGCATCATGCAAACACTCGAAACATATGTATGAATAAAATGTAACGACCGTCTAGGATTTCGGAATAAACAATTTCGTTTCGTTTATTTATTAGATGTACATGATAAAAAAGTATAATTTTCAAGATCAAAGAATTTAAATGTATAGGTAACGTGCAATGTCGCCAGTTGTATTAAGTGAAATAACAACATAATTATGAAATACAGTTAAGTCGGTCACAAAACAAAAGCAAATGACATGTATTTTCTGTCATCTGGCATGGTGGAGCGTGCAGGTACAAAATTATGGTGAATAAGAATAAAGAGTAAAGAGGAACCATGTAAATTGCGGTTTAAGATTACAAATGTCCCTAATTACTTACTTACTTAAATCACCGGGTTCACAAGACCTTTGTGCAGATTTGTGCACCAGGAAATGGCACCTCTATAACCATTGACCACAAGAGAGGAATACGAAAACAGGTTTTTGATTCAAAACTCTAATTGCAAACGACGAAAGGAGTAGTCCCAAAGACATCTAAAGAAAAATAATTCAACATAAAAGTGATAACTTCACTTAAGTAAAAATGTTTCAACGCTGCTGTAATAAAGTGATTTCTAGTTCCAACGACGTTGGAACTGTTTTAAAAAAAGACTAACATCCAATCATGGTTCGACCTTCGAGCTACACCGAGGTCGATACAAAACGAGTCATATATTTAAAAAAGAAAGAAAGAAAGGCATCGTGCGTGAACACGGCTCGTGTCGGACCCTTACAAATTTGTACCACGTTGCTCGTAAAAATAAAAGGCTACAACTCTACAGCGCCTGGAGCTTTGCTTTCGAAATCGTGCTAAACTTTGCTTTTATAAAACTACTACTTTTTTAAGTTTTATTATTAAACATAACTGTAACGTAATTGTTAACATTTGTTTTACTATCAGCATCTATATGTACTAGTGTTTGTTATTTTTGTGTGATATTATTGTGTATTAATTTAGCTAACAACTCACACTAGACTACTCTTGATGTTGTGAATTACTTAATCACAAAGTTACTATTTTTTTGAACAGGCAATTTTACAATGTGTCATGTTATTACGATGAAAGTTCAAATTATTTTGAAACAAGAAGAATGTAAGAAATGCCGTTGTCATTGGTACAGCACGAAATTATACGTCTACGTACTATGCCCCTTCATCCTCTGATTCTTTTCCAAAGTTTCGATTTGTAATTACAAACGCGGCGCGAACAAAGAATGATACCACATCTAAATGCTACGATCGTATTAGAAAACAAAAACTAAGAAATAATAACCTCTATTACCAGGCAGTAAGAGCTATTAATTCTGATGTAGGCGTTGATAAAGTTTGTAGATTCGGACAAAAGGACCGATATAAACTCCCATGGTGTGTTATTATCAGATGTTTTAAGGACCCTATTATAAAGTTAATAATGGATTCGATTTTTTACCAACGTGTTTGATGCCTTAGAATATGTATCAAGTCCTACGGGCATAGCATTTCTTAGTCTAGAGGTGGCAACCACCATAATTATGAAGTTAAAATGTATTTGGAGCAACAATAATTCAAAATATTTTGGAAGAACATTTTCCATATTGTAGCTTTAGGACAACCTTTTCTAACCGAGCCTTGTGCGCTACTTTTTACATTGAGAGTAGATAAGATTACAAACAGATTTAAAAAAGTTGATAATTTACTTTAATAAAATATTTGCTTTAACTCATATCGCATATCAATATATACATAAATTTGTGTACACATACATCGATCCCTACAAAAATTCTATTACACAGTGTTTGTTGAACTAACTATGAAAACTTCTAACGAATACCCAAGGCCAGCCGTTTATTGGACACACAAGAATCTATAGTGTCAGCGTAGAGGTGTAAGATACGAATGTTTCTAGGCACAGTGTTACTTGTGTAGATAGTTGGAACACGAGCAAAAGTAACACTATAATGGCGGGCGGCGCGTGCGTCGACTAACTAACCCAACACGCTCACGTCAAACGACTAAGGAATTTCACTTGTATATGAGAAACAAAGATGAAGCTTTTTAGTGTACGGTACCTAATTGAACAAATAATGAGCTGGGCACAGGATGGGTGGATGCAGGTGTGAGGTACAAGGATTCCTCGAAGGAAACCGAACCAGGTCAGGAATCGAAGATCAATATGTCGATATATCAACATAAAAGTATTGTTAATAATAACCGTGCTCCTTAGATTCCAAAACTTAAAGTGGCACACAGCAAGAATGAACTATCGCAGAGAGATTCCATATTTCCGTTAACTTCCTACATAGTGGCGGAATAGAATAAAAAAGTATCACCTACTTGGCATCCTACGCGGTGCAGGGTCACCCGTGGGACGAGTTACGAGGCGCGGACAAGCCATAGAAAGTTCACTCCATCCATATTATTACGACCATACACAACTAGAAGAAACTTACATTTTTGGAATTCAGAGCAATGGAGAATTAACAAGTAAGGAGATAGAGTTGTTAATAGGAATGGGAAAATTGCACAAACAGAAGAGACAAAATTAATACAGACCAGTATTAACATTTTTGGAATTTAGAGCGAGGAATTACTAACTTAAAGAGCTAATAGATAAAGTTGTAAATAGTAATAGAGAAAATGACACAAATAGGAAAAATTAAATAAATCTAGACATGTGACATGACATTTTTAGAATTCAGAGCGAGGAAGAATGATTTTAAAGAGCAGGGAGATAAATAGGGATGAATTTAGAAGAGACGAAATAAACCTATGCCTGTATTTACTATGAATTGGAATCAGGTATTTGTTTGCTTAACAGTACATAAGTATAATGACAAAGGTACAGAAACCCTGGATGCAATTCTAATTACTGCATCACTTTAAATCATGGTGAATGAAAATGAAAAGCTAATGATGGAGTGCTGTATAACAATGATCCCTAGAATAAAAATCAGGCATAATAATCTGCAACTTTATTCAAATGTAAAACGGATATTCCATTACAAATGTACCTAAACATTTTGAATGCAACAGTATTGAAAAATTCAGTATCTTCAAGAGATTTTTGTTTGCATGTTGCATTCAAATTGTGTGGAATACAATGTGTTCTATACAAAATATTCCAGAATATGACCTTTCCTTGTTTGCTTGCCATGTTTTGTGAAAACAGTTCTTTATCAGTAAATCTGCCCGTTTCAGCATCTTTGACTTGTGACTTAAGGTATATTTACTGACATTGAAGAAAATATTGAAAAACATAATGATGAAATTAAAGTACTTTGTTACCGATTCTTTGCACAAAAAAGAAGTCCTTCTTTAACTTGACTTGATTAAACATGGCAAAGGGGACTTAGTTGTATGTGGTACAAGTTCTTTTTAAAGCCAACGCGTTGAATATTTTGTCAGTTCCATTTTACCTTCACATTTTCACTTCATAACTCTAAGAGCTGATCATACCACCATCAGTCGGCAAGTCGAGCATCGTTTTGAAGATTCAGCCGATCTGGTCTCTAATCTCCAGAATGCTCTGTTTAGTTTTGTTTTGAATCGTGAGCGGCGAGAGAGGGAGATGACTTGATACGGCTTGCACGACGACGCTCGGCCACGACCGAAGATATCGCGTCTATCTGACGTCTTGCTTACTTGTTCTTTTTTAAATTTTGATATACTGCCTTTATTGTAGTCGATGCGTCGATATTTCGAGCGTAGATACGGTTCGCGTACTTGTTAATGGAATTTTCTAGAAACTAGATCTTACCTTAGGAATTCTATCTAGAATCATTGCTTTACCTATGTGATTGTCTAGAAGTGGTTTTCATAAATGTGCATTTATAATACACAAACAATGTACCTACATTAAATACATGTGAGTTATCTGATAATTGAAGTCTAAACTTAATCTGACATTTGCAGTTTCATACTCAAGTTATATGAAAACAAAACAACAATACAACATGAATTACTTACAAGTTTATTATTCTTTTGATTCGAGCGCTGCACCGAAGGATAGAAAGTGAAACATCCAACAGGTTTTCATACTAGGGCTTGTACGACCGTGAACTTCCTGTGTGTTATTGTGAATATCCGTCATAAACTCGGACCGCTGTAGGCTACCACCTTCGTAGACCACCACATCAACCAAGGGAAATAAATCTCTATACCGTCCAACATAAAGCCCTATTTCGATAGAAAATTAGTAATGTTAAACATTAACGCCACCATTATTTGTTTTAATGTATTTTGGTAATACACTACATGTGTTTTGATTGGACAAAACGAAAACAATTGCAATAGTAGGTACCCAGATGCTTTGTATTTGTTTTCTTTAACATTGAAGATTAAGTTCAAGATTCCATATCGAAGAAAATATTAGAACTTACTTCCAGATACTTTAAAAATTAATATAACACTTGTTTTTCCTTATATACAACCTACATAGACTTTTGCCATTTAAAAGGCTGGAAGAAGACCCACCTATCACTTGAAAATTAGCACTAATTAAGCTACTACATAAAACCACAATAACACCTAAACTAGATATTATTCCTAAGTACACAGAGAGAGGAAGCCATTGAAATCAAAATGCCGATAGCAAGAAACGCAAAACGTAGATTTATATAAAACTATATTTATGCAAATCAAGTGGTTACGAAGCAGTGTTCCGCGTAGCCGACATTTATACCAGTATAAATATTCAGCTATCACTTAGCCTATGCAAATACACAGGACCTCGGTTCCTAGTCTGGTCACGTACTAAATGATATAATATTTCGCTTTACAATCTGGTGACGCATTCCATATCAGCTATTTGACGGCACCAAATTTGAATTTGGAATTAAAACATTCTAAATAACATCACAGTCGACGACTTTTTGACATTTGTGTTTTTTTTTTTCGTTAATGTTGATATTCTATTTAATTTAAATATTTTTGGAGTACTACTAGGTACCTTGGAATTGAATAACTACACACTTACTTGCCTTGTGAAAAATCCAGACTTCTACTAATAATATGTATATTTCTCTTCAAACAAAAGTTTAAAACAAAATCAATTATTTATCCTCGTTTCTTCTTTGTTTTTTATTTTAATGTGAACTTTCTTGACTACAGGAAATAAGTATCTAATGAGTTGGATAGTTATTTAAAAGCAAAACAATAACGTTAAAAGCTCGTTTAACAGTTTTTTTTTAAACAAGGCTTTGTCTTTGATTTTTTCGTCCTCTTTTGCATGTCAATTATCCTTACATTAGTTATTCTGGCGCCAAAGATGTCAAAAACACATGTTTTTTTACCTGGGCCTACGTTTATTTTGGAACACTAAACATGGATATTTATTGCTAAACCGCGGTTTAAATATTTATGTACTTTACTTTTGATATTGCCTACTGTGTTAGTATAATAATAATTATAAATAAGAAACCCGACTGGTATTATTGTTCCACTGTAAAAGAATCAAATCTTCTAACTAGACAGTATGTCCTAAAAGTACGTACTGTTTTACTTGAAACTAGCTGCACTAAGAAATTTGATCCATTTAGGTATTTAACTTCTTATTTACAATTTGAAACACATTCCCAACACTCTGTGAAGTTTTTGTTATCTGTTAAGTCTTTGGATAATTTAATGTTTCTATAGCGTAGAACCGAATTTGTTGGTCTGATATATTTCGCAGATTGTGTAGCACAGACCTTAGCCACTGGCGCCTTTATCAAGCGCCTAAATTATTAGAATCTACTTAAAATATGTTATTCACGATAACGTGCAGTGATCGGTCTTATATCGAATATATGGAATAGATAAGGGACGTTTAAACCCATCTCTTATCGATATACAAATACTGCTCCTGTCCAAGCTTGAACAGCAAACAGAATCAAGAAATAAACACAAGTCCAACGTTACATAGTAACTATATACACAAAAAATCGATGATTTTATCAGTTAAATATTGAAAATCGATGTATTCATGGCAACGTCAACGTGCGGTGTGTCTATTCTTGGAATTTACTCGTAAAAGGGAATGATAGTTTCTAACTTAGTTTTGTAGCTTTTTTGTGGATAAAACGTGCGTTACGTAAACTTTTGTATTTTAATTTAACATTTAACGATGTGATTAGGTTCTACCAGATAGTCTTAAATAATCTTGAAATAAATTTACTCGCTACTAACTGGATCGTCTACTTGAGTTACTACTTAATAATGTATTTATCGACGGTTTGTTATGTTCACAGTTAGTATTGGAATGTTCGCCCTTTGCATACCTTAGTAAATGTTGGTTATTTAACATTATATAGCCTAATACCCAATCTGTTAGTCAGAAAAGTATATAGAGGATTTTTGTTTCGAGTTTGTGAGCAAAATATTACCTGATGGTAAGCGGTTAGCGTCGCCCATGGACACCAGAAACCGCTGAAAGTTTAGCTGGCTTTTTTTGGCAATATTACACCAATTTCTTAAACATTTCCAATCTAATGTTGCTAGTTCATTTCTAATAGGAGGTCGCCGAAAACTAAACGCCGTTTTTCTTTATCCAACATGAACACAATCGTATAAAAATACCAATAAACATTTTCAGGTGACTACGACTAGGCCCAAATCAAAGACATACCTAGATGGAAATTCCACAAGAACAGTTTTAAACAGGGTAAAGACTCGAATTTTGTATTTCATTCGCAAAATATTCTTCGATAGCTACATAAATTAATATGGTATTAATAGAACAAATTAACGTAACAGGTTCCTGGCTTACATTATTTTGGTATTAATTTATTGAGTAACGTACGTAATATATTTAAGTGTCAAATCTCAGTCGTTTAAATGAAAACATAAGTTACTATCAGGTGCATATAATATATATATAAGTATATGTGTCTTATAATATATGTAATATATGTATATGAGAAGGAACGATGCGATTTTAGGCAGTAAGAATCTGACATTCTCTCTTTCTTGTCTCACCCTAAGTCAGACAAGTCATCTGTGATATTTTTTTAAATAAAAGCTAGCCATCATCAGCCTATAAGTGCCCACTACTGAGCAAAGGCCTCTTCTCATACGGAGAAGATTAGAGCATTAATCACCACGCTTGCTCAATGCGGGTTGGCGATTTCAAACTTCTTCACGATGTTTACCTTCACCGTATGTCAGTGGTGTCTAAATAATCATAGAAGGTACATATAACTTGGAAAAAATCACATTGGTACTTGCCAGGTTTCGAACCCACACCCTCATGCATGAGAAGCGGGCTCCTTAACCTCCGGGCCACCATGACATGGCAGAACGAAACGCTAGCAACTTCTTATTTCAGCTGTAAGTTGAAGGCTGAAGGGTCTCTAATAAAACCGCTTTAGAACCAAAGTTAGTTGGGTTATGTTACATTAGAACTATATATAACCCACACAAAATCAAATTGTCAACAGAAATAACATCTCCCTTAATTGTATTGTTACATCATTTATTGAACAGGCTTGGCGGTTAAATAATTTATTTCAATTTTAATTTAATTAACCATCTAGCTTCATAATGGCTTATGTAGCTTATTGGCTACGAATATTTCGCCTTCTTTTATTTCGCGAAGGTCTATAAGACTAGCTAAGTGAAAGCCAAATGGTCTAAAGTTTTCTAAGGGTATTAAAATCAGATATTTAATGTAGAGTCCTAAACTATCCCAAGTATATTGTTTTTCGCACTCCCTATTATATGAGACTTCCAACAAAAATGGATTAAAAGTGTTATTATATATGTCAAGGTCTGTATAAAATTTAAGGAAAACATTCGTATTTAAAAAGCAACAAACAGGTAATACGTGGAAATGCAATACTGCATTTATTAACCCAACCCTGCCAATGCTCTAGGCGGTACAAGGTGTAACTCCAATCCAATACCAGATATTCATGTAAATGTCACTTGAAAACTAAATGGAACACAGCCTCGATCAAAAACCAATCTGTCAAATTATGTATTTTAATAGATTTTAGCTATTATAGGTTAGCAATAAAGTTTAAAATCCAGAGATACTGCACAAAAGGTGTGCACCATCGCCACAAATGAACTAAGATAACCTAACTTCTGACAAGGATAGATAGGATTTAATTATCATAGTACACATTTTCGATTTAGAAATAATTATTTATTATTTTACTTAGCTATTGAATACTGAACCTTATTTTTAACGTCATAATCGTTATGTGTTTATGGAAGTAAATTTCTACCAGGATCTAAGAAACAAAATCAGAACAACTCTGTCACATTACACCAACACTTGTATATTCTCTTCAGCGTGTCTCTAATTTGCAAGCAGTTTAGGCCAAACCTGCCATTTTATAGAGCGTGATGACTCTGCGATTATAATATTCCGTGGTACATTCGACATTTCGGTCAGCCATTTTAAAATCATGTTTCACATTCCGCCATGGCGTGTCGTTAGGACATGAATAATGAATAGAACTAAAGGCACCATCAAATGGTCTCTGAAAACAGTCTCCAACCATCTATTTTACATACGAAAGCTATGAGCCAGTGTCATCTCAACGTCGCATGCGCTGCTTGCACGTTTCATAGAAATACCTCCGTCTAATCACTTCGCGGTATCGGAGAAAAGTCGACAGGCGTCGTGTTAAAACAATTTTACACGTTCTAATATAAGCAAGCATTGGTCGGGACAGAACCCGTTCTCAACGGACCCTCTTTATTAGGACCTGTTACTTGGTTTAGGAACTAGAAAACTCATTTGGTTTTCCGCACATAATAATATAGACACATTTTTTCGTTCGGTTTGGGTCCCACTTTAATACTACCTTAAATCATTCGACGCATTTTAATTAACCCGTTTTACATCAACAAATGAAAAAAAATATCCGTGTTGTTTAGCTCTTTAAAATGTTCAAACAAATTGTGAATTAACTTGATTTTTGGGTACAATTTCCTGTTCAGGATTTTTTTGCCTTTTAATTTAAATTGACCTACGTTTTGAATTAGTTTTGGCTCATAAATACTTAAATACTGTGACAAAAGTGTGCATGTAGAATTAGTTTCATAAATGGGAATAATTTTTTCCAAAACACAGTAATGATTAGGAGCAAAATGTTCCCTGGAAATGCTTAGAATGCAGACAAAATTTTGGGAATCTTACAAATGTGTACAGAATTTAAAAGTGATGCCTAAAGCTATGAACTCACATAACATGGATCCATCGCATGTAGAATCAGTTATAATGCGGATAATGATAGGTACCCTCGCCATTTTGGCACGAGCCTAATTCCAACGGGTTTTAATATAAAAATCAACCAATTTGCCGCACGCAAAATTTGTGTTGCAAATGTGTTGGCCTGATTGACCATGTACGGCGACGATGGTGTTAACATGGTGCAGTCCTACGCGAAGTGTGATGAAAGTTCCGCGCAGTTCAAACATTACAACATTTGGTATCTTCTCAAAGGATCTACTTGTTTCTGGTAGTCGATCTTATAGTTCTGATCGTGGTTCTGATCTGGCATTGCTTATTATATGAAAAAGCATTGCGCCAAGGAAACTCTAATTCTACATGCACAAGTGTCAATGGCTTCATAATTGCAACACTTTAAATCAGTTCTAAATTACAAATAAACTTATTTCCCAAAGCTTTAACATTGGCCAAAAGTAAAAAAACAATATTCCAAACCAACGTGGTTAAAATAAGATTAAAAATCAATCAATTGATTTCTCAAAATTTCAACCGCTTCTTTCAATTTTCCCTATCCATTGGAGGCATTTCGATTGGTATCTCATAAATGGCCGATCATAATCGAAACCAAGAAAGGGGCTCGTTTGTCCTTAAAAACATTTTGTAAGCAGTTTTCGTAACCGAAATCGTATGCCAAGAGTGTATAGTAACGTGGCTACGCACATTTTTATTGTGGATCTCCATTTATGTAAAACACAAATTTGGTACAATGGAATTGATGTAGCTCGGTAATATTTAGTCCGCGTAATATTATATTAAGCTATAAAGAGGCCTCTGAAAGCAAGCAGAGATAAACAAAATAACATTGACCATCATTGAAGCAATATTTGTAATAAAAGATTTCTTCGGCACGAAACAAGAGCAAATAGCCAACCGACCACTTCATAGGCCACAGGAGCTGTTTGTTACCCAGCCAGAGTTGAGGGTGCAAGCACGATGATGTGGCGTTTGGTTTGGAGCAGAAGAACGAACGAGTTGGTTTATAGTCAATAATAGTCTTACACCCTACTCAAGATGGGAAGAAGCCATTTGATGATTAACAACCTATTAAAAAAGTCTTATAATCCGAAATAGAAACGGTTGAGTGGTTTCTATGTCTACAATCGTCCGCCAACGGTCTTTAACTGGAATGATTAGCACTGAGTAAGAAGTGCTAATGCATCGCTCATACCTCCACTACATAATGAAGTCAATTTTACATCACATCATAAATATTTGCTATCTACTAACTGATATGCGACATCGTTTTAGTCGATTTTCTGATTATTTTCATCGAATTAAAAGAGCTTTTTTACTGTACTTCGTATTTTATTTACTATAGTTTCTATATGGAGTGTTCTTGACTGTAGCTTCATATTTTTATTCAAAGTTTTAGTGGAAGTACTACTACTTCAGTCTTTTCGGTGAACCCTATTAATCTACCTTCATGATGACTTTTAAAATCAATTTGCAGTAGTTGTCAGGCTTTGTACGTGTCGATATAAAAACGAATATTATTACTAACTTAATATTTCAATAGGACGGGGTTTCCCGCTAATGCCAAACTAATATTAGCTGCGGCGTTAGTTCATTGGCCAAAAATTTGTCTAGGCTTGCTTAATCTTGACATTAAGGTTTTAGAATTTTATATGAAAAATGCAGATACTTAAGAAAACATATGAAACGTTCCTTCCGAATAATTCTTTGGCTTGGTGACGCAAACAACTCAAGTCTCCCCTGATGAAGACAAAATTGTAGAAACAAAAACTTGAAACCATGTTGAGATTTAGAAATGCTCTCTAGTTTTCGTTTTCACCGTTAAATTGATATCTAATATACTGACGGTTAGTACAGACTTTCGTGTGTTACTATACCTAATTTCGGAGAAAATCAGCAAGCTATCCGAATCAAAGCGATGGTATTTCCAACAAATTTTGCTAACGTCATGAAATTATCATTCGAGCGTCATAGATTTTTTGTAGTATATGTAATCAGCGTTCTTACTACTTACATGCAAGCGTTGTACGTATGTATGTGTTTTAAAATTTTACCGTTTATCTGTTTACCTGGTTAGTTATTATCAGTGTCAACGGCCTCTAATCTTAGTGCGCTATCACTATCTACTTAACTTTACATTAAGTAATATTTTGGGTCATTTCGAATTTATTGCTTTGCAGTACCTATGTATATGCATTTGCGTCGGTCGAGTAAAGGTATGTGACGGCCATGTTCATTACTCTCAAGACGCTGTTTGGAATTAATTAACTGGTTAATGCGTTATTGATATTGAAATGGACGTGGGAAAGCACTGAGGCTCAGTTTTGAAATATTATAATATAGTATTTACTTTCTTATTTGCAATTTCAAACTTATCCTTTTAGTAGCTTATGAGTGCCTGTGAAAAAATATTCGTCGGGAATATGTCGCCAAAGTTTGTAGGGCCATCTTAGGCGAAATATCATTTAAGAAAATATTGTTAGGTATGTTATAAAGCGAAACTTTCACGTTTACATAAAAGAAATATAAAATGTTCTAATAACTACACTTACATAGAAAACAGACTTACTACACAACCGATAAGCATCAATCTAGGGACCGCAGAGACTTCCAAGAAAAGGTCCAAGCGGAGGCTGCGCCGGCGCCCAAAAGAGACAACAACACATGTGTCACATGCAAGCGAGCGAGACAAAAAGTCAAGTGGATTACCTTCACGACTAGTCTTGTACATTAATGTTATTTAAGCACTGTAAAGTTTTTTGTTTGTGTGTACTATGCACTTTACTAGCGTTTATGTAATCCTTTAGTTGTATGTAATTGTGTGTGCGTGTGTGTGTGAGGAAAAACTTTGTTGCTATGCACTAAAATCATATATGCAGTGTTAAAACATGAAAAATCGAATCAAGCAGTATAGTTATTTACATGGTAACAATACTTTGAATATGACCATACGACCCTACTATTTTCGAACTTAGTGTTAAGATTCTAATAGGTGTTGGACCAAAAAACTAATGATAGTCTCTTAAAATCGTTTCCACAACGTCTGTTATTTAAATAAATCCCCAACAAAACGGTTTTGGACGAAAATCAATAAAAACTTTGCCAAAGCTGCCAACTTAAGATGTCCAGCAAAAAGGTTAATAAGGAATTATTAATTTGCTAAACCGCTATAAAAACTTACAGCTTAAGTCGATTTCGACACAAGCAAGTAAGTAGGCAGTGGCTCATAGTTACTGGCACGTAATTTCTATTAATTTATTTTATCTCGGGCTCATTATTGAGAGAATTAATATGAATCTACGGTATAATATGAATCTATGGTATAAGGTACGCTTATTAATTATACAATAAATTACCACGTCACTCTTATCAAGCTCACTCGAAAGGTAGCTTTATGGTGTTCGTTACTAACAATGACGTCAACGATCTTCCCACGTGCCAACTTCGCCTTATACCCCACACTTGCATACAATTCGCTCAGTGAGGAACTTAAAACAATTCAGTTACAACCTTATCCCATAACCAATTAAGCATAAAATGCAGCAACTTCGTTAATCAGTTGTAAGTTACCAGCAACAAGGCACGCGTCGATTGCGACACCGTGGAGTGGCTGACGAAGTAATTCCATTTTCAAAACGGTACATCAACTTACCTTGTATGAAAATAAACTTAGTGTACATAAAAATAAAGACGATATTACTATGTGTGTGAGAGACGAAAACTAGACGTGATGATCGCCCCGCGACACCGTCAGCCTACATGGTATTAGGCAACTGCACCATCAACCGACCGAATGGAAGAGGTAGAGGTATCCGACAAAAATGTTCATGTTAGGTGACTTTTTCGTTGGGTTTGGTTCGATGACATTGCAACGGTGGACTGTAGGTGTATTTATTCAATATTTAAAGGCTTTTTGACCGAGCGGGGGCGACGGTTTGATAATGCAAGTGTGTCAAAGGCTGCTTCTATGGGCTATAAAGATACATCCGGTCTTTAGATTGCCAAACGAGACATTAATGAGTGTTATACAATTTTAACAGGTGTGGATAGGAAGGCCCCGGTCTTGTGTTATGTAGGCGGACTGCTTTCGAGTTAATAAAGTGTAATTTTGCCCTATTAAGTCCATCGGTTCAGGTTCAAATAGAAGAACAATATCAGTGACGGTGTTAACGAACAAACATACTTCTCTTTGTAAAAGAAATGGCATAATGACATGAGCTTTTGCTTACAGCTTCGTTTACAAACCTAGAAAATTAAGTTCGCTATAAAACATACGATTACTACAATTAATTTATAAAAACAATACCGGATGAATATAGAAAGAGTATAAAATACTATTCGGTCCTCATTTTGATTAATCTCCCACACTTTTCTGCCCATATGCAGTGACCAGCTGGATGGGTACGCAACCGGTATCATCAGACATATGGCCAGGCCAGAAGCTTAATCCAACCTTTTTAGGAAAAAAATATTTGACGCGACGGAAATCTTAATTGAACGGGGAAGGAAGCAATTACTCATTGAACTTAGTTTTTAGTTCCTGTTGGAATCATAGCTTGGGACAGTTTCTCACCTTCCCATCTTATGTTTTGATTGAGAATCTCTTCGTAATGTTAATTGCCCTTATATTTAGCAACTGATTTATTGCTTGAAAGACTCTGATTGTGTCGTTATTACTCGCACACGGAAATCATTAGGTATACATACTTTAAATTAATTTTATCATTTCACGTTGTAGATTATATACTATAAGGATTGTGTTTATTTTATCTCTATTTAGTCTCTTCCATGACTTTAGGTGTATACTAAATACAATCAAGTATATGGGATAGTAGGAATAATATCCCTTACTTATTAAATCTTATAAGTATTAAGTTAGATCAGATAACCAAGATTTATGAAATTTCAATCATAACAATTATACTAACCATTCAAAAATAAACTGTAATTATTTATTAAGATATAAATTTCAATGATACTTTCGAAGGTTGGAGCCAGACAGGACAGATTCCATTATTTGTTCTTCAATGTCTGAAATTGTAAT